CGTCCTCCCTCTTGTAGGTCTCGTTGACCTTGAAGCTCTTGAAGATCTCCTCGATCATGGCCTGGCCGTAGGCGTTCGCCGTCGAGTTGATGAACACTAGCAGGATGGCTTTGCTCTCCTTCTCCATGATACTGCCGTTGGCCCCGTCCATGGACTCGTGCAGCTCGCGCATCACCTCGATGGCCACGTGCACGTGCGGGGGTCCCAAGCCATGCTTCTTCCCTCGGGAGCGGACCTCCGTGGCGTACTTCTTGGCTGCCTGCAGGCCCGCTTGGAAGGCCCTGGCCTGCGCTGGGATGAGCCAGAAGTCGGACAGCACGTGCATCGCCTCCCTCAAGTCTTGCGCGTTTCGCAGGGCGAGCTTCATCGTCACGTTCAGGCGGTCGTCGTAGTGGTCGTGGTCGCCGCCGCGTCCTCGTTGTGGCTGTTGTCCCCCTCCACCGCCGCTTGCTGCTGCCGAAGCTGCCGGCGACGAGCGTCATTCTCCTGCCAGGTCGCTGCTTGCGCCTCGCTTGCCAGCCAGCTGCCAGTCCGCTCTCGGCGCCATCGCCGCCATGGCAAGTACGCTTTTGACCGAGTGGGGGCCTTCGTGATGTGATCGAACGTGGCACTGAAAAGAGAGTAAGTCTTGGGCCTCGTATCCACATAGGCCGCACTCCAATGAGGCTGGTTCCAATAGTTCGTGGGCCCATTTGCTGCGGTCGACATAGCACGTGCCGTGCCGTTCTACAGCCCTGTGGCAATGATCTATCGCCGTCTTGCGATTGAGGAATACACTGAGACACCAGGGGCACTGATTAGTGGTAACAAGCACTGCGAGCAGCGTGCGAAGGTTGTGCACTCCTCTCTTGTGTGCCTGTAGTGCCTGTGCTGTCCTAAACCTCCTCCCGCATACTGTCTCCCTTCCTCCATCGTCGACACACGGGTGGGTCGCACCAAAAGGGACGTGCAAGGGCCTCCTCCTGCTCCTCCACCGTCTCGTCCTCTCCCTCTTCTCTGCCTCCTCCCCTCTGCGCTGTACTGCGCAATATGCTCGTGTCGACACATAGCCACTGCCGCCACTCCTCGGTTCCTGGTGTAAGTATGGCCAGATCTGACGTACGGTGCTCGTACCATGCTTGCATGTTTTCGTCCATCTCTGCTAGCAAATCTAGGTCGCGCCGATACTGTTGTGCCATAGGTGTAGAGTAAGTGCCCACCCAGCCCCCTGGCAACAATCGTGTAACACCCTTCAACCGCTCCATCACACTGAGGCCAAAGATAGCTGCAACCAGGTTGCCGTGAGCTTCTGGGTACTTCGCCCACTGTTGATACCATTTCAGTCGCCGTGCCCGAAGAGCGTCTTCTGTCCTCTCTAGCCTCCATTCCCTGAACACGCGGGCTGCGCTGTAACATCGTACTGTGCCGTCCGCTCGTGTCCACGACATCTTGCCCCGAGCGAGCGTGCGCAAGTATTTGCCGATCACCGCATCTAGAGTAGCAGTGTGACATGGGCTGAGTACCATCGCCGTTAATCCGCTGAGGCCAGCTCCGAACACAAACGCAATGAACATCATTCGCTTGACTGCGAAGCTGTTCTTGGAGCTCCAGAAGGTGCCGCCTTGCCTCCAGGCTAGGCGGATCGCGTCGCACCGTTTCTTGATCTCCCCCGTGATGCCTTGATCTGACGGGATAAACGGCCCCAACACCCTCATTTCCCTAAGGGAAATGCCCTTCCGCTCCTTTGAACGGCGCAACTTGCGGGTGCAGCTGTTGCTCCCCTGGCCTCGTAGGCAGAGGAGGTGGTTGGTTTTGGTGGGGTTGAGCTTCCAGTTGCCCTTGGCAAGTGTTGTCTCGAGCTCTTGCGTGGCCTGGTTCAGGTGGGCAGTGACGTGGGTCGCTGACGCTCCAGCTGGGAGGATGAGTCTTTGTGATATCGTCCATGAATGTGTTGAGGCTGAGGTCGTGCACTTGGTGAGTAATGGGGTGCTGGGTGTCGTGTAGCTTTTGCGTAGGAGCGCTTCGCACGCCGTCGTTCCATTGTTGCACGTATAGGTTGTAGCTGTCATTGAACTGCCTCGGTGCCAACGTGAAGCCCATCTGGGCTCCCGAGAGGGTTTCCATTGTGACGGCTTCCGTGGGTGTTTCTATCGTCATAGCTGTCATGTCGATGGCCCCCACAGAGTGCACTCGGTCCCATTCATCAGCTTGTTTGAAGGCAACTGCATGCAGGAGGCGCTTATCCGTAGAGGCAAACGCGTTAGAGCAATCATAGTTGGTGTACACAGAGCTGTATACTAGTTGCTCAGCCTTCCATTTCGTCGTCATCAGCGTGGCAAGCACGTTCTCCCGACACCGGTGCGGTAGCCCGCCCTGCGCCCACGTTGCATGCTGAAATGGCGTGCCACGTATGTGTATGCCCGCGTGCCACGACATGCCTACACTGCAGTACGCGTGCATGATGCGCTTTCCTAATACCCCCTGTCGTCCGTTGTTCTTATCTGCTCCGAACGCCTGGACCTATGCCACGCAAGGGGGGTGGTCTGGGTACTTCGACACATAATCAGCACATCCATGAGTCTCCTCGCCGCCGCGTGGTTGCCTTGTCCCCACTGTATAACTCCAAATCCAGCTCTGGGTCCCCTTCCCACTGTGTAGTTATTGACTAAGTTGGCGGGCTCCGTCGGTACACCTCCTCTCCTCCCCAAGCCTCCTCCTGTCCATCCCAACCGCTCCAGTAGTGCCCTCCCCTTCTGCAACCGTCGCTCGATAGTATGCTGCGTATCCTCCTCCTCCCTCGTCGCTCGTGCCTGCGCCCCTGATACTGTCGGTTCACCTAGGTTGATTCGAGGGTCTAGTAAGAGGAGCGTGATTTCCACAGGAAGGCCCCATGCAGGCCATGCCCTTCTCTTTTTGGCCTTTTTGCAATAGCGTAGCATAGCAGCATGGTCCTCAGCAGCTCGGCAACGGAGGTCACTGTCTACTGGGAGTGGCAATGTTCGGGAGTAGTGTGCTTCCCTCTCTAGCAGCTGCTGGTCCAAATCTATGACCTGCGCGCTGAGGCCTCCTTCGTGCGGGCTCTTCGCCAGCTCGTTCGCCCACTGCTCGGCAGACCAGTGCGTGCGAGGGGCAAAAAAGAATCTGCGCTTGGGCCCGCGACCGTTCGCCTGGTACTGGATCCTAAGTCGGTGCATCTCGGCGAAATCCCCCCGCTCTGACGCTTCCCAAATCTCCTCGACCAGTCGGGCTTTTCGCTGGGTCTCATAGCTCTCTCTGATCTGCTTTCGCACACTTGTGACATCTTTTAGAGGCGCTTTCACTTGCTCGAGCTGCTCGTCGGAGATCCCAGGGCCCAAGCGCTGTCTGATAGTGCGTCTCTGTGCCAACAGTTCCATCCGTTGTGTCTGCATAGCACGGTTACACACATCCTCCCTCTGGCGTTGGGCACCGAAGATCTGTTGTACTGCAGTCCTGACTGCCTCCCTGTACCGTTGCCACGCTCGATCTGGGGTCGGTCCGTCTAGCAGCTCCCTCTACTCCTCCTCCTCGATCTTGCTCAGCTCCTCCTCGATCCTATCCAGCACCTCCTGCCTTTTATATCCTCTCCTCAAACAAGACATGAGCTGGTCCCTGTCGAGTCGGTCCTCTGGCTTCAGTCGACTGGTCGGGGCATGTCTGATCCGCTCATCGATGACCAACCCAATCGGCACATGGTCCCGCGAGCCTTTAGCTTGGATAAGCTGCAGCCGCTTCCCAGACGTGTGGAGTGCTATGCATTTCTGGACCAGGTGAGCTGCGCCCTGCGGGATAGCGAAGTGGTCGATTCGGCTTGTTCCTCCTTTGGGGCCAAAGAAGGTAGGGCCAGGGTCGTGGGTTGTGGTAGCCACTATGCAATCGCTGGTTTGGCAGAACTGAAGAACGTGCTGTCCGTTGTCATTCTCGAACGCTGACGCGTGGGGCCCCAGGCAACTCGAAACCGTTTTTTGGACAGTCCCGTCGCTGGCACGGTGAAGCCCAAAGCCGGTATTGATATCCCCCCAATGACCGTCAGCGTACGTGCTCCTAGCCAGTCCGTCGTTCCCTCCAACCACTCACTAATACGCCTCCCCACCTCCCCATAGTTCTTGACATGCGTAGGTGCGTAGTATGTCGAGAAGAGAGCAACTTCGCAAGAGGACAGCGCAAGTTTAATTCCTCCTACTCGTCCCTGCAGAAGTCCAGGGGGGTGGTAGATCTCTCTCAAGCAGTGGGTCGGGTATTTTTTGCGCACCAGGATTGCAATGCCGCAGGCTTTCGTGACAAACCGTCCTTTGCGCGCACCCATTTGAATACACCAATGGCCAGGGAGCGTCACACACCTAGATGTCTCTGCGCTCGTCATCTCGCCCGTGCCACACACAAGTACGACATCCCACGTCCGTAGTTCCGTGCTGATGTCCGAGAGACGCTCGACCGAACTGGCAGAGAGAGGATTGTAAGAGATGATACGCATGGCATTGGCCGCCCGAATGTATTAGGTGTGATGATCCGCTCCGCCCCTCCCCCACCTGGCCTCTGCGAGAAGAGGGGCGCGCCGTCAGGGGAAGTGAGTGCGCTGGTCGCGGCCGAGCGCACTTCCTGAGCCCCTCGCGGCGGCTCGGAGGAGGAGGAGGAGGAAGCGCCTCCCGAACCCATCCCAGCGCCTTGATGGCGGAGGGGAGCGGAAGAGTTGCGTATTCATTTGGGTCAAGCCTCAAGGGCCAGCCATTTTAAGATCACATTTCAGCCTCCCGCGTGTACCTCGGAATCTCCGTCCGCTCCCAGGCCCCTGACGTCATGATTCGCTCACGACGCCGACCCCCAAGGGTCTCGACCCATTCCCCGGGACCAGTTTCTCATCCCGAGTCGTTTTTTGACGGTCCCGAGGCCCAGTGAGGGCCCCCAGAGGCTGAAAATAGCCAGAAATCTCCCGTCGTGAGTTCGAATGACTCAAGGGGATCTGGGCTTGGCTTTCCGCTCGTGAGTTGTTTGATGGGCATTCC